AATAGTTTCCTATGGAGTTTTTGCAAGCCACACCCACTCCAAAAGTTCTTTTCTCTTTCGTAAAGATCAACATAACATAAAAAATAAAAAAACTTTTGAAACGTATTTACTTTCTCTCTTTTTACTTTCACGACCACATCTCTTTCTATTTCGATTAATGTCATAAAAAAATATTGAGAATGCAAAGGAAGAGATCAATATTCTGAGTTGTTGGGCTAATAGATGAAAAGTAAGTTTCAATTTATATAAAAACCGGATCAAATTAGGTAAAAAATAAAATATAAGTCAATTTTAATGGCATTGTTACATCAATTGATACCAACCAATAGTGAATGTAATTATCTCACAAAAAATAATTATATTAATCATTAAAAGATTATAAGTCTATTGTTAATTGAGAGACAATTATATAGACAACACATTTAGTTTATCAATTATTATATTATTATGATAATACAATATATTGAAAAATTATATTATTTTTCATCGTTATAAATTTGAATTGCTCGATTGGATTTAAATGCAAGCTCTAGCTTTAACTTTAAATGAACATAAGTACTATTAGTTAGTTGAATTATAATTTTTCTAATTATTAGAACTAGATGCAAGTAGTGTGAGCCAAAGTGGTTGACATTTATGTAAACAAAACAAAACATAAAGTACTTAATATGATATACTATTTTTTTTCTCACTGATATGCTATTCAAATTGAATAATTTAATTTGCTATCATTTTTTTCTCTCAACCGCTAATTAAATTCTAAAAGAAATATTTAAAATTATTCCTGAACTATACAAAATGAATACCCCATGTTATTAGCATAATAATTGGGATCTAGACTACCGCAGTGTAGTACTTATTCCAATTTCATATGCAAATAATTTGTCCAATATCAAGAAGAAGTTTTCTTTGATAGACACATAAATTATATTATATTTAACTCAAAGTATACTCATATGATTGTGATGGATTATAACCCACTTTTAGAACATGATTCCTAGCATTCATATCAAATAAATCGAATACTTCTTATCGTGTAAAACTATGTTCGGACTAAAACACACAATGTATGAAATAAATAATTGATTTTTCTTGATTTTTTTTTTTCAAACAATAACTTTTAAATACCTGAATTATCTTTTTTAGCAATGAACTCTCCGTTAAGATTTTTTTAAAAAAATATTAGTTTTTTCACTCACATATATATTGAAAAATAACAATGCTAACTTGGATAACACAAAAACTAAAATCAGATTATACCATTAATATAAGGACTAAAAGTATCATTTCTTTTCTTATATAAATATTAATTTTGTGATAAGGTCATGTTTCATATTCTTAAAATAAAAATAAATAAATAAAGAACATATATTTTCAAAATCTATGACCAACCCATTTTGAATAATTTAATTTAATTCATGAAAAAAAATTACTTAAATATACAATCAATTTTATCATACTCTCTAAAGTTTCTTATCATTTGAAAAAATTACAAAAATATATACTCTTCTATTTTCAGATACATCACTTTACGTAATGTATCAGGCTGTAAGCAAGGTATTGATACATTGATCGATATATCTGAAATCGAAACGTAATATATTGAAACTTTGAGGAATATATCCAAAATCGGTACACAATGTATAGGAATATTTTAGTATGTATCCAAATTCCACAATTTTTTTTTTAATAATTTGAAAAAGAATAAAAGATTTGTATAATTTTTTTCAATATTCATCAAAAGAAAGTTTAAACGCAGAAGAGAAGTTAAGAAAACCCTAAAAATATAAAAGGGGGCTTTAGGCGGAGGCGCAGGTGTTGAGAAGCTTTATTTGTTAGTGAAAATGTCTGACGAAGAGCACCAATTTGAATCAAAGGCAGATGCCGGAGCTTCCAAAACTTACCCTCAACAAGCTGGTACTATTCGGAAGAACGGTTACATTGTAATCAAAGCTCGTCCTTGCAAGGTTTCATTTTTGCATCTAATTCTACTTTTTTGTTAGTAATTTTGATTATTTGTACAATAGAGACGGATTCAGGATTTGAAGCGAAGTTCAAATTAATATATGATGATAACTGCGGTTCAGTATTTAGTAAATTTATTATTAAGTTCATGGATCTGGTATTGGATTTTGTGTAGTTTATCTGCAAAATGTGAAGTAGTTAATTATCAGTATACAAAGTTATCTGATACATGTTGTTGGTAGGAGGTGACAGGTATTAGGTGGAATTAATGGAAAGTTGGCCCGTACACCACAGTCATTAAAAAAAACTGTTTTTGAAGTTATCCCGGCGACAATGGCTAAATCCAGCTACTTGCTATATATGTTAAAAGTAGATAAGTTTTTCGTTATTGTAAGATAGTAAAATGACTAAATCTTATTGAAAAATATATTAACATTTTGAAAGTATTGAAGTGTTTTATAGTGTTAAATAACAGACTATGGTACTTTATAATATTGATTAACAGACTATTGTACTTGATTTGAGACGAGATTACGCGAAGAGGGATATATTAACTCAAAAGTAAAAGGGAAAAGGAGGATATACCCCTCAACTTTGCGATTTGGTGTTGATAACCCCTCACGGCTCACGGCTCACGGCTCACGGCTCACAGCTCACGGCTCATGGCTCATGTATACCCCTACCGTACACAAATGGCCCAATGGCCTAGATATACCATTTTTCAGCTGATGGAAGTGAAATTATTGATTTTAAGTTTTATTAAAATAAAATTCATATTGGATTTGATATCCTTCTCTCACGTGAATATATTTTGCCTTTGACTAGTTTGGTTGGATTCAAAAAGTTCTAAGTTGTTGACTTTTGTGGTTGGATTCTAAAGATTTTCAGCTCTTCATTGATCGTCTAGTTTCAATGCAGATTTTAGTTTGGCCTTTGTTCCTCATTTTTCCCTTCAGTACTTCCAGTGTTTGCTAATTTTGACATTTCTGTTTACAGGTTGTGGAAGTCTCCACTTCCAAGACTGGCAAGCATGGACATGCCAAATGTCACTTTGTAGCAATTGACATCTTCACTGGCAAGAAACTTGAGGATATTGTTCCCTCTTCACACAATTGTGATGTATGTACTCCTCGAGGTCTTCATGTCCATTACACAATGTTCTTATCTTTGCATTATCGGTTTCATGTATGATGATTGTGTCTGTGCAGGTCCCCCATGTTAATCGTACGGATTACCAGCTTATTGACATCTCTGAGGATGGATTTGTATATCTCTATTCCCTAGTCACATTCTTTTTTTGTTATTTTTTATGAAAGTGTCTGATCTGTGTATTATTATTAATAATAATATAGGTGAGTCTCCTCACTGACAATGGTAATACTAAGGATGACCTGAGGCTTCCAACAGATGAGAGTCTTCTCTCACAGGTTAGTAAGCTGATCTAGCTCATCCAATTTTTCAGCACTTTTTCCAAGTTATAATTTGAAGTCAGAGTAAATATTTCGAGGCTGGTGGAAATATTTTTAGTCATTGCAGTATGCATGCTCAAACTCCCTTAGAAGCTTAAGTGGGTTTGCGAGAAGATCGTAATTCATTTGATTCCCATTTAGTAATTGTTTTTTTGGTTTCCCACCCGTTGTTCAGTACTTGCATTGGTGTCCGACTAAATCCGGATTTGTGCTTGGGAAGGTCTACGTTTGTGTGTGTGTGTGGGTGGGGGGGTGTGTGTAAAGTGTTTCCTAACAAAGACGATTCCGTACCCCCCACTCGAATCCGAGATCTCTGGTTAAGGCTAAAGGAGTACTGACCACTCCACCACAACCCGTGTTGGTTTAGTAAAAATTGCCTTACCTTCTTCACTCATGTTTTCGTTTTGAACTGTTTTGTTATGTTTTTACTTGAACCGAGGGTCTATTGGAACCAATCTCTACCTCTCAAGGTAGGGGCAAGGTCTGCGTACACACTACCCTCCCCCGACTCCACTTGTGGGATTACACCAAGTATGTTGTTGTTGTTGTTGTTCCACTTAGTAAAAAGGGGCACTTTGTTGGTGCATATTATGAGAGTTTTTTCGAGTTCTGTTAAGCTGTTAATTCTTCTGCTTCTAGAAAATGTTGCAGGTTTCCTGACTAGTTCTAATTTGCTAAATGTGCAGATCAAGGATGGATTCGCCGAGGGTAAAGACCTTGTTGTGTCTGTCATGTCTGCCATGGGTGAGGAGCAGATTAATGCACTGAAGGATATTGGTCCAAAGTAAAATGTGCCAAGGGAGAGGAGGGACATGACAGTAGCGGAAAACGGTACCAGCTTGTTCAAGAACATCTACTTCTACTTAGTGTTCTCGATACGCAAGCCCCCAATTTCTATTTGATCCTATATCCATAGTCCTTGAGTTAGATTGTTGTTCTAATATTTGTTGGAATTTTATCTGTTTATTTTAAACGTTTTCAAATGTGGTGTGGAAAAGTTAATCTGGCATATACACAATTTTGTACCTTCAACTTTTTATGAAGCTAGAAATTGTCTTCGTAGGAATTAAAGACCTTTGTAATTCTGTTTTCCTGCATCTACATATGGTTAACCTCTTTTTTCTTAAGTAGATAGTATGTCAATCTCCTCGTTCGATATGTTTAGGGGTCATTTGGTAGAGTATATTAGAAATAATAATGCATGCATTAACTTTCTGTATTAGTAGTATCTTGTATCTTGTTTGATACGTCTTTGCATTAGTTATACACTCTAGTGTATTAATAATGCAAAAATTATGCAATGTATGCTATTTTTAATACATAAAATTAAATAATTCATAAGAAATAATCTTTGCATAATTAATGCAAGCATAACTAAAATGTTACAAAAGAAATATCCCGTTTTCCATCAAGCAACTTGAGATGCATTAATAGAAGTGTTAATTCGATCAAAATCAACAATAATTTGGTTGAGGGAGTTGAACATTACAACACATTTAATCAAGTCAAAATATTGCCTCCTTAAATCAAAACAACTACTATTAATCAACAAATTAATAGTACAGTTCAGAAAATCGGAGAAATGAAAAGGAAAATGATGAATAGAGAGACCACAAGGGAAGGGATTGCACGTTATAAAACGAAAACTTGCTGTTTGGGAATGTCTGTCTTCAAATGATTTGAACCCTCGTATTCAGCACGAGCAATCTATGATTTAGCTCAGCTCATGTAACGAATGGCTGTTCCGAGCCAGTCATCAGGTATGCCACCCTTCAAGAATCCACTAAGGGCTTTCACTGAATGGTCTGTTCCTGCCTGCATCAATTCAAATAAATAATGAACTAGTTGGGATGAGTTATATTTGTTTCTCATCCTAAGCTTAGTTGGGATGAACTAGTTGCCATGAAAACATATTACCTTAGTTATGTAGACATCAATCCCAAGCTTCGCAATCATGGCAGCTTCTGTTATTTTTGTTACCATCCCACCAGTTGTATCATGTGCAGCTACCGTGAATTCAACTGTTGATAAAAGATTCAGGATTACCATGTAAGTAAATTGCTCTGCAATAGTACAATGCAAGTTAAGTTGTATTATACTGACCGGGCTTGCTTGTATCTTCTAATTTAGGTTTCACTACCGACCAGCTTCCATCTTCACGTACAGCTGCAACAAGTAAACATCGTCCCGATATGATGCAGCTAGCTTATCATAAGTGCTTTATGGAAAAAATAACATATTCAAAACAATAAAACCAACTCTAGGGATAAAATTGAGCATTTACCTATTTCCCGGATAAGTACAGCGCCAGGTTCTACTGGTGGACGATCATATACACCAAGAACATCTGTCTTCGCTCAAGATGTATAGGATAACATTTATAGAACATAATCTCATGTTGTTCAAAGATGATATGATCAGTAACAGTTTATGTGTCAGGCCAAGTTAGGGGGTTCTGTATTCATTTTGTGCACGACTCGAAAGCACCTAGATGCAAATATGTTGTACTGAGATGGACCTAGAAATAGAATCTATAGTGTCTTTTTTCCAATATGCAAATAGATTGCAGGTTTTAAGGCAATGTTTCCAAAAACAATGTAAATGGACCTTCACATACTACACTGGGATGATGTCTTTACAGAGATATTTTGGAGTAACTAATTTGAAATTGTATTTATTGAAGATATTCTTATTTGCAAATCTCCAGCATGAACAGTATCAAAATGCATGCTCTACCTAACGATGTGTTGGATACAAGAAAAACAACAAACTCTGGCTTTAGTTCAGCTGCTAAATGACGTATTATCACGTCTCCACTCAGAATAGTGCACTCCTGAACAAGTGAAAGAATTAAGTACATGATCAGTGATCATCATCAAGTTAATGTTCAATTATACTTGAAAAACACACCTGTAATGTATCCAGAACTGCATCTCCATGCAGAACCTGGAATGCAAATGAACTCGTGTTACAACATTCTAAGTCACAAAATTAGAAAATCGAAGCAATTGCAATAACAAAGTTGCCAAATTAGAAAGTAATAATTTATTTCACTGATCTAATATCTGATATCTTATGAAAGAAAGTTTCCTAAAAGTTCTATTACGACCCTACGCTGCTTCACACGTTATCCTAAGGGTTTTGGGTTCAATATTCCGGTTCTTTTATAAGGTAATAGAGCTAATCTTAGGTAAAAGCATTTTCTATGTAAATCTGTTCTCACAACTGTTTTCTTTCTACTTCTAGTCCAATTGTACGTTGTTTTTACCTAATCTGTCGCTTAGAACTTTGCTCAGTGAGCCACTAGCTCTACTTCGATCTTCCAGATCCCTTCATCGTGAACCTAATCTCCTTGCTCTACTCACTCTTCAACCTACAAGCCACCTTAAACTCATGTATATATAAGAAGTTGAAAATGAAAGAAAGCACAATATACATACTACTCAAAGCACAAAATTCTTGATCAACATGTCAAAGGGATTAAGATAGTGTGATTCATCATTACCAACAACACTCCCCCAAAGAATCATCGAAAATTACAAACTAGAAAGTGCTTTGGGTAGTAGAACTTTTTCCTATTCGCCAAGTTCTTCTATTGGATTTTTGAGCCTTTGGTGTCTATGTCAAAAACCATATAATAATGAGACTTTGCACTATCTATAAATTTCTTCTAGATATTTGAACGTCAAACTTATAAATACACATCATATAGTGCTAACAACTAGCACCTCCTTGACATGAAAAGCCTAAACATCATGAACAACCTACCTACACAATGCACAATCTTGATGACATGCTTGCCTAATAAAATGGACAGGAAGATATCAGGGGAAAGGTAAGAATATGGTCTGAAAGAGTGTTTCACATGAAAAAACTAAACTGATAATTAATTGTGTTGCCAAGAAGATATTTCTCTGTGCGAGAAAGTATGAGAGTTTTGCGCTAAGACCAAAGAGTTCAAACTTACAGGTATAAAACCAGCATCAATAGCTTTAATGACCATGGAAATGTCAGCCTCCGTCATCTGCAAAAGCACAAGTTGCCAAATTTCAAACAATTTCACAGCAAGGAACAATTTTGTTCTCTCTCGAAAGAGCTTAAATTATAGCAATATATCCATTTAATGAAAATGATCTTCATTTCGCCTTCTAACATTTCTTTGACATGTTGACCAACCACATGAGAATGGAGACATTCCGATGGAAGGAATACCCTCTGCAACAACAAAAACCATTTCTTAGGAATCCACTGATAAGAGAGACATAAAGTTGTAAGCAAGTACACCCTTCAAGGTGAAAATATGCATCTATAATGAATAATTAACAAGCCTTGTACGTGAAGAGCTGTCAATTGTTTGCTGGTTGACTGGATGGACAACTATCAAGTACTATGGATATCAACAATTTGTGTTGATTAATGAGGATGTTAGCTTCTTAAAGAGTGACGTGGGAACTTAAAAGAGGATACCAAATCAATTTAGGCCCTTGTAACATCTTCCGCAGAGCAACATTGCCCCTCCAATCTGATATAAAAATTGCCTATGGCCTTCACAGTGTCTATTCAAATCCTATTTCTTGTCATGCCATAAAGCAGTTTGGCCATTAGAGAGATTCTCAGGACTTAAACATCCAAATCCATTTCACTTCCCACCCTGCCCACAGTGAGATCGAATGGAGCGAAGATGCGAACATGTTACGTATTATGGCACCAGTTACATTTAATCACAATAACATTTATTTCTAGACAATCTTAAGAGGCTTGTGGCATGGGAATGAAACTGTTATGAGTACCTCTTGCTAGGGCTCTCACGATTTCAAGATTGAGGGATGTGACCTGCAATAAAGAAAATGTAAATTCTGTCACATATCACCTGAGAGTCGAAGAGAAAACATAAAAAAGGGGATCATCGCATAGAGACGAAGAAGTCTAGCAAATAATTAGGTTATCACTTAATTTGTGTAGTAAACATCAAACACGTCATTCCCTGAACACTCTAAATAGACATCTCTCAGGAGTGTAGTGAATAAGATTAAGCAGATAAGCTATTAAGCATGGAACTTTAGCCTGCATAAGATGCTGGAAATATGTCCAAAACAAAGAGGAGAAGAAAGACGCATGAATGAATGTTTCACTGGATTCAGCAATGCCACTGCTAGTCGTAAGTTACAAGCAGAAGGTAGAAAAGGAGTAGAGACAAAATATCAGCTACATAATAGAGTTGAAATATGTGTCAGGTGGAACAAAGATATTGCTTGAAAACGGAAAGGTTCAGGTTGGATCTTACTGAAATTCTTGTTGCAACAAAACCAGCCTTGACAAGAGGCCGGCTTAGTCCACCCTTATGAACCCCTGACTTGCTAGCTTGAAAGTGTCCAAAGGAACCTGACAGCAATGATAACAAATGTCAAAAGCCTACGAGTTTACTCGAAACTAAAATCCAAAATGTCCTAGAGAAGCAAAATTGGGTCGATTTATGTTTATTCATTTCATAATTCAAAGAACTTTGCTATGGCTAATGAGCCTTACAAATCCTGCTAATGACTAAATACACAATTAATATCAACCTGCTCCATGAACAACAATATAACTTTCTGAATCCGCAACTGGTTGATCACCGAAATCATTAACGAAACTTGGAGCTTCAGACTGTCCTGGCCTTTTACTCCAATCCATTCCAAGAACATTTGCAGAAGTAGAATCCGGAACAAATGCTTGACGAATCTGGGATGAAACCTCCTTAAGATTCTCCTCATCTATAGTCTCCAATTTATTTTTACACGTGATGGCTGCACCTCCTGAACTAAAAAGTAAACAAATAATGCATCCAAAATCTCCAAAGTAAAAAAAAAAGGGGCATGCACTTTGTACAGTGTTAAGAGTAACCTAAAATAATTAAATACAAACTCAAAAGAAAGCATCAACTAACATATTTTTATTTCTAGTTTCTCCTATAGGTAAAGTCAATCAATTAACATGTTATGCTACTATCTGTTGCTTTTGTTATTTTCTACTGTCCCTTGTACGTACTTCCATTACGTCTCTTTCTAAACTGATTATGTCTTTGAGCCGAGGGTCTATCAGAAGCAGTCTTTCTACCTCAGTGAGGTAGAAGTAAGGTCTGCGCATACTCTACCCTCCCCAGACCCCACTTGATATATTGTTGTTGTAGGTAAAATCAATCAATTAGCATGTTCTGCTACATCTGTTGTTTTTGTTATTTTCTAATGTCACTTGTACTTCCATTACTAAATTGATTATGTCCTTGAACCGAGGGTCTATCAAAAACAACCTCTCTATCTTAGTGAGGTAAGAGTAAGGTCTGCGCATACTCTACCCTCACCAGACCACACTCAATATATTGTTGTTGTAGGTAAAATCAATCAATTAGCATGTTCTGCGACAATCTGTTGTTTTTGTTATTTTCTAGTGTTGCTTGTACTTTCATTACATCTTTTCCTAAATTGATTATGCCTTGAGCCAAGGGTCTATAAAGAAAGTCTCTTTCTCAGTGAGGTAAAAGTAAGGTTTGCACATACTCTACCCTCCTCAAACCCCACTCAGACTACACTGGGTATATTGTTGTAGGTAAAATCAATCAATTAGCATGTTCTGCGACAATCTGTTGTTTTTGTTATTTTCTAGTGTCGCTTGTACTTTCATTATATCTTTTTCTAAATTGATTATGCCTTGAGCCAAGGGTCTATCAAAAACAATCTCTCGATCTCAATCTCAGTGAGGTAAAAGTGAGGTCTGCGCATACTCTACCCTCCCCAGACCCCACTTAGACTACACTGGGTATTCTATTGTAGGTAAAATCAATCAATTAGCATGTTCTGCGACAATCTGTTGTTTTTGTTATTTTCTAGTATTGCTTGTACTTTCATTACATCTTTTTCTAAATTGATTTTGTCTTGATCCAAGTGTCTATCAGAAATAGTTTCTCTATCTCAGTGAATTAAAAGTAAGGTCGCACATACTCTATCCTCCCAGACCCCACTTAGACTACACTGGGTATGTTGTTGTAGGTAAAGTCAATCAATCAATCAACTACGCATTGATCCTAAACTAGTTGAGCTCATCTACACATATCCTCTGTTCAAGTCAAAGGATTCATCTAGCTTGACTATAACCCTGTTCTACAGGTAAATTTATCACAAAATTAGTGCCAATTGAATCGTAGCACAACGTTTTCTACTCATAAAGTAGCAAACAAATGCTCAATTTGAGATTATTTTAGTCAATCAAATACACATATATCAAATCAAATCAAATGTAGACAAATAAACTGAAAAGGGATAGTTCACCGAGTTTGACGATACAACGGAGACGTTTAGATGTTTTCTTCTGCTCCATTTTTGGTGAATGCTGCGGCTGCTGCTGCTTTGTTCAATAATTCAATTCACTCTAAAAGGTAGCTGAAAATAGAAGCATAGATGACATACTCGAAATGACATAATAGAATCTTAATTTAAGAGTTAGATTTGTAATGTCACGACGTTATTTTAAATTATATTCCTTCGGATGTCAATTTATCTGATAGCTTTCGGATTTTGAGATTCAAATAAGTCTACTTTGAATCATAAATTTTTTTATGTCTTTTTAAATATTTTAAATTGTTAATTATTGTGACTTATAGTACTTTTTAAGTAGTTTACAAATATATAAAATTCATTTTAAAAAAATTAAAGATTCTATATGCAAATTCTGGATTAAACTTAAATTGTTTCACTCTTAAAACATAAAAAATATCACGTAAATTTGGAGTATTTAATAAAGTCTTTTGAAAACTATTTTTTAGTTTGATCCGATCTTTCGCTATTGAGAGTTTGTTTTTGATAAGAATAATAACTTTTGTGGCTAAATTTTTTAAATTGTTTTTTTTTTTTTGAAGTATTATTTTTGTCAAAACCCTTATTAATATTAAAAGAAATTTTGTCAAGATTAGAGTAGTATTTGTGTTTGTCTAAGATTCTACAAGTGATTTTGAAAAAAAATACGCACACTAATTTTAGCTTCTGAAAAATAATTTATGTTACAACTCAAAAATACTAGTAATTTTTTTTTTCCCATAAGAGTAGTGCTTTTGCTTATTTGGACAAACATATCATAACATCTTCATGTAATTTCTGAAGGAGTACTATGTAAAGGTGGGTACAATGTTCTAAAAAGTGTGGCCCCACATTTATTTTTCAATATTGAAGTTTGATTAGTCCGAATCATCATTGTGTAGGATTTCATTCGGAAGATATTTCCATATGCAAAACTCGAATTGGAGACCTCACTGAAATCTGTTCAGCCATATAAATTCTAACAAAACATTTAAAGATATATTTTTTAATTGTAGTAATATAAAAAAAGTTGTAATATTTCGTATATTTAAATATTATTTTTTAAATATCAAAATCTTAAAATTAGTTAAATTAATTCTCAAAAAGTAAAATATGACAATTATTTGAGACGAAGAAAGTACTATTAATTAACATTTTAATTGGCAGTATAATGGATAAAAGAGTCAATTTGAATTATATGTGGAGTTGTTTGGAATCCTGAGGTAAAAGGATTTGTTTTCATTTCTAAGATGGGGATTTAATTTTCCTCCTATTTTATTTTTATTTGATTTTGTATAAATTAACTCTTGAAGAAATCTTTTTTTTTACATATCTATAATGGTCCAATGGAAATCTGAAAGAAAAGAGAGTTTCAATCCTCTGATACATATAAAGATGCTACTTGAATTCGACTCTGTGAAATTTTGTTTGAGCGAGAGAACGTACCATAGATAAACAGTGGCGGAGCCAGAACTTCGATTAAGGATGTCAAAATATAAAAAAGTAAAATCACGTAGAAGTCAAGGAGTGTCAATATGTAATATATATACAAAAAAAATATTTTTACTCTAGCTACACAGTGTAATTTTCTGATGAAGGGGTGTCGATCGATACCCCTCAACTACATGTGGCTCCGCCACTGCAGATAAAGAGTTGTAGCTAGGTTCTATAGAAATTGGAAAAAGAGCTTGCCGGTCACGTGGAAGGTCTTCGGGAACTTTTTGAATTGCCAATTGAGAGAAATGACTACTCCTATAGAAAATTTATCTTCAAATATTTGTTTGGCTATGAAATTTGATTAGATTTTCAAGATCCATTATTCAAATATTTTCAAGTTCTCGAAAATTGATTTGCCAATTTCTGGAACTTCTACTTACAAAACTTCAAATATTTTTCAAGTAAAATGAATGTCCAAACACAACTTCAAAAACTCAAATTGCTCATTCGGAGGTAAGCGCTCCTTACGAAGATTGTTTGATATGCCAATTGAGAGAAATTGGTACTCCTATAGAAATTTTATCTTCAAATATTTGTTTTGTCTATGAAATTTGATCAGATTTTCAAGATCCCATTATTCAAATATTTTCAACTTCTCGAAAACTGATTTGCCTGTTTCTGGGACTTCTACTTGCAAAACTTCAAATATTTCCCATGTAAAATGAATGTCCAAACACAACTTCAAAAACTCAAATTGCCCATTCGGAGGGAAGCGCTTAGAGATAACAAAACATACTCCAAGTATGAAAAGATTGTACAATAGCAATCAGGTAGTTGACAGTATAATACAAGGATGAAGTAGAATTGGATTTCTTCATGATTTTGCAATTCAGTTCTGGAAAACAAGATGTGTACAATCTCTGTGACTAACCGAGACTCGAAAGCATACAGTAGGGGGGTTTCCTCCTACGAGAGATGCCAATCGATAGTTCTAAGAAACTCACCTCGACATGATGCCAAAGAACTTATAGATGATTGCTCTCTGATACCAAAATCCACAGGCAGATGAAGTGGAAACTCAAGACATTTAAAAATGCAACTCAAGATGAGTACAAGACTCGAGATCACTCTACGTTCCAATCAACAAACAGATTCTCCAGTCAAAAATGGGAGCGAACACTAAGAGCATGATGAACATAGTTTCTCAACTTGCATTTGTGATGCACCTCAGAGAACAAATAATTTGCTAAACGCACCTCTATTACTGCTAAAGCAAACAATGAACATTATGCCCGAGCTAAAAGTGCAGCAGACAGGAAAACTAGAAGTCTGTTTTCAGCTAGCTCATCCAAACAAGGCATATTTTTATTTCATGATAGCTCGCAACTCCTTACCGTACTTTCACCCACTGTTCTGCAGACAAATTCAGAATCGGAAGTATGCCAATATCTCAGAGAAGCAACTAAATTATAGAAGTGCCAATACCAATCCCCAGCTTAAGTTTTCTCATTTACCAATTAGTAAGTGACAAATGATATCTAGTATCTGAACGGAACTGGCTAACCAGGCGACAATGCAGTTCTCTTAAGCAAACTTCTTTAGGTCATAACTCGTATCAGTAATACAGTTAAAACCAAACAGAGTATTTCTTACAAGGAGAGAACTTTCAATGTTCAAACATAACAAATACATCACGGATCTTCTAGCATGGAAGAAACATGCTATGTTTTCTCGAGGTAATAAAGATACCAACCCAATTATAAGAATACGTCATGGAGCATCAACTGAAGATGAGCCATTTGGATATAGTAATCAAACTAACATTTCATTGAGGAAATGATTCAAGTAGTTTTTACAGTACCTACACAATATGTAGAAGCTAGAAAAGAGATCTAAGCGTCTAAATCGCGACCTGCTTCAACAAACTTATTACATATAGAGATGCATAATACATATTGTAAAGCATCTTCACATGATTTCTTAACTACTATGGAATTGGATACATGATTAAAACCATAATTTCTACAAAATACAAAGTAAAAACTGCGTCTTGAACCCACTGACCTTAGACTGTTTCAACTTTGAACAACACAAACAACATGAGGAACCTTCTCATTGTCAAAAGGCAAGTAGACATACTCGCGAGCAAACTCCTCCGCAATATCCAATGCTAGCTCCCCGTGCAATGCCTTGCAATACATATACAACACGACACTCGCTGCAATATTCTGAAGCATCAAGAGAGTAGCAAAACCCGAACTCACCACCATCTGCAATATCACCCCAAAGCTTGTCCACCCACCGCTAGCAGCTCCTACACTCACCAAAAAACTAGAACAACCACCCACTAACAATCCAATCAGAACCCCGAAAAATAGCAACACCGATAACGCAACCCATCTCATCCCCTTCACCAAATAAGCACTTCTTTGCAATGCTTCGTAACCCCATTTCGATTCCACAACTACAATCACATAAGCTAATGACCAATTAACATGCAACCACATAACAACCAATACAACCACTACACCTACAAAAACACCCAAACCCAATAAGTAATTCGAATCGTAACCCACTTCAAACCCCAGAAACTGCACACCCTGTACCACGATCACCGCCAATAGCCCAAACAGTAGAACAATTAAAGCATAAATGACACGCGAAACGATAAGGGTGGCAACTAGAGGCAAGAAAGAGTACAAAACAGACTTCATAGACGAAACAAGCTTGACGGGTCTTCCATAAAATCCATGGAAAGTACTGTAGCTGATTGTAGCCAACGCCAAAAGGGACAGAACAGCAGCTAAAAGGGTGTACGCAAGGAGAAGAAGAAGGGACTGGGGATCCGGTTGGGTCAGATTCCGAATCGGGTCATATGGGTCAGTGGAGGTGAAGAAGGAGAAGGAAAGGTGAGATGGGTGTGGGTGAAAAAGGTTGGATCCGGAGTGAAAGAGAGCGGTTTGAAGAGTAGGATAGATGATGAGGGAGAACGACAGAGGCAAAAGGAAGGAAACTGAAAGGGCTAAGAAATGGCGTGAGTGAGCATTGATTATACGCTTTGATTGGGAAAGTACTCCCCAGAGATTAAGGGTATGTGGATAACCAGACATTGAAGATGATGATGAAGAATTGAACAAGGAAACCAAAGAGATGATGAGAAAAACTGGGCTCTGTTTTTGTGATTTGGGTTTTTTTTCTTCCCCTTTTCTTGAATTTTGCAGGAGAGAAGAGTGAAGAAGGAGACAAGTGGCAATAAGGTTCAATATTTTCCTCAATTCACTAGAAAATTGGTCTTTAGTCTTATCCCATATGATTCAAGCAAAGACAAGAAAATTGAATTATGAGATGTTTTTTAAGTCTCAAAATTAATATTGGTGACATGTTTGATCAATCCAAAATTAAGAAATGTTTTAGAGTGAGTCAGAGTCTCACGTTAACTTGAGAATGGACCAATGAGTTTGCTATATAGACTTGATCAACTCTCCATTTATAAATTAACTTTTGGATAGAGTTACAGTCCGGTACCCAAAGTTGCATAAGACTTGTCTAGTGCATTCTACCCAAAAATTGTGCATAGAATAAACTCCGCTTCATCATGACATTTAAGCAGCCAGTTTACTATGTAGAAGGCCCTTCAAGCGACTATCAAAAAGGAA